TTTCAAAATTCAATTATTATTCTTTTATATTATTTTTAATTTGAATTTTGCAAAGTCTAAATAATTCAACAATTTAGAGATTAACTTCTTAAGTCATATTTTATTAAAGCCCCAGAACAAAAGTTATTGATCCGCACTGTAATAATACGATTGGATCTCCAAGCTTGGATATCTCCTAGGCTGTTTTGGGATATCCCATCTCCTTTTCTACTTCCCCTTCAAATTCGTTTATTATCAAAGAAAGAAAAACTAGAACATAGTTCATGACTTGTGGTGACAGCGACGACAGGTAAAAGTTGATGTAGGTATATGTGGAATGTGTACAATACCTTAGGGGTCATTTGGTTTGAGATTTCAAACAGTAGCATGAGATTAAAATGCCCAAGAATATGATGTCTTGAGAGTCAAATATAACCAAACGTCTATCATTAACATACCTGAAATTAAGAAGCCTGAAAATAAATTATATATACGTCTATTTGGTGTGATTACTCTAGAAATATGAATTTTATATCATTGTAAACATTGATTAATAACTAATCATAAAAATATAAATCAAATTAAATTATTTTTTAGTTGTTAATACATCCTAAATTTTAAATTTGAGTTATATTGACATAAATTTTAAATTTGAGTTATATTGACATCAATTGAACTATTAATAATAAATGTTATTTAACTAAAATCCAATATATACATATTTATTAAAATGATATCTGTGTAAATTTAGCAAAATGATATCTGTGTAATCAAAATTAACCTTCAATAATTAATTTACATTAAATTAAATTCTTAAAATCATTTTAAGCAATTAGGTTTTAATTTAAGTTTCACTCATTAATGAATATTTTATAAATAATATATCTTTTATATGTGAACATGTGTTTCTTCGTCATTATCATCGTCTTGACTGTTACTTGATAGTGAAAAAATTCTTAGATTATAACAGTAAGTTCAGTCCTTGTTCATCCGCAACTTGGGCCATAGCTACAATCAATATGTGTGGCTTGTACCTCCAGAGCTCCATTATCTTTCGAAACCCAAAACCTCATTCATTACAGTTCTCGAACCGAAGCAACAATCTTAAGTAGTTTTGGCTCTTTGATTTCAGGTTCAAAAGCACCTTGAAGATTCAATTTATGATCACGTTTTTTAAAATAAAGGTATGTGAAATTTATGATCCTAAAAATGACAGCAATTAGTTCTGTTTCAAATTGCCACCTCATATTTTAAATTTTGACATCAAGCATTAAAGAAGAAATTATATTTGAGTCACTTAACGAGACTGAAGTTAGCATAACAATTAAAGTATACCAAACCTCGTTCAAGATTTGATTCAACTACAGAGATAATTGAGTTTGAAATGTCTTTTTATCACGTAATTAGCACTATTGAAGCATTTAAGCATAGTCTATGCAAGGGTTTAACTGCCACCTGAACTAATCCTACATGGAGGAATTTATATTTTTCTTGATGGTCACATATTAACTAAAATAAAGTAAATAAGTACATTAAAAGAAAAATAATTTATTGAAAATAAAAGAGAGGTATGATACAAACTACATGGACTAACCTATGAAAATGGAAGGGAAGATAAAACCCTTTTAGGAGTAATAATTGATGCTTGGGAATACATGATTCTCAGGCAAATTATTAAAAACTTTGTATCAAACATAGGTTTAACTTGCCTATGCTCACTTTCACCCAACAAAATCTCCAACCAACCGGCCCCTCAAAAGTCACACCCTCTCCAAACCACAAGTCACCTCTTACTGTCAAACCATCCAGCTCAACAATGCTAGGAATAAGCACAAGAACTACAATCATATTGCACATACTCTAGTGCAACTTACAAACTTTACCTTTTCAAATTCAGGACCTAAATCAATGGATGGATTTACAGGATTAGCTCTAGCTGCATTTCAAACTGCAAGGCCTTTATCATATGTGTATAGATCTGACTGCCAAGATTCAAAACAAACGTTTAAAAATAAATAACGTCACCAAATAAGAGTTCCTTTTTTTTTTCTCGTTCAATATCCAGTACGCAGGAAGTTCAGATAGATACACTTCACCTGTAAAAGAAGTTAATCTGAGGTTGAACTCAGTTGTAGCGAACGAGAATGTGGCACGATAATACCAACGGGTCGATCAAAGAACTGTCTCAAAAGTTAAAAGTATAGCATGAAAAGAATGTTCACACGATGAGACCCGAAAACAAAGTATAAAACTCAAACAAACCTTTATCATTGAGCCTACTGCTGTCTTTTGCTTGTGCATTTGATCGCAGCTTTTGTCCTGATGAGACAAGTAACTTCATCAGTATCTTCTACAAGTATTAAAATATAAAGGACAGTTTCTTAGTGAATGGCCAAAAAGATGACCTCTGAAAGTGAAGAGTTCTCAGTCTTTAGTGTATCTGTATCAACTAGTCTCTTAACCGCGGTCAAATTCACCCACCTGAACAATAGAGGATAAACCTGATACAAGTGCATATGCAATGCCTAGCAAGGAAAAGATCATTAAAGTTCCTACTCACAAGCTTCTTGTATCAGAAAATTTGAATTTGTCCATTGGCTTGAGTTGACATGAAAAGAAACTTCAAACAATTAGGCAAATGAAAAAAATTATCCAGTACAAAAGCCAGCTAACTAACAATACCATAAAACTACAAGTCTAAAGGGGGAAAAGAGGATGATTAGTTCAACAAAAAGATTTAAAGAGAAAATGGAAACATTATTTGCTTACAGAGTCACTTGAATTTAGACCAATATCTGCGAGCTGCATTGAGAAACGATGTGCATCAAATCCATTGTCAAGAACCCCACAAACACTTGCTTAAGAACTAAATAATACCAATATCAGAACAAGTATTTTCTTTTTATATAATAGAAACAGAGGATATATGAAAACAAGAGACAACACACACAGCCTTAAGGGTAAAGAACCCCAAAAAAAGCTACAAAAGAAGCATCTTCCCATTGCAAAGGATTACTATAATTACAAAATAATTTCACATGACTATAACGCCACCAAAGAGAGGGCAGAGTATAACGGTAAGGTACTGTGCTCTTCTCAAGTAGTATACACTAAAAATTTATTTTAATAAAACAAGCTACCATCCCAAGATGGAGGGCTAAATTTCCTACCATATCGAGCTTTGTGAACAAAATGGTTTCTTATCAAATGTATGAACATATATTTTCGTCACAATATCCATTTCTTGAACTGGAAAGTGGAAACTATAAAGCAGTATGAAATAAAAGAATGTGCAATGATCTAATAAATCTTGTCACCATAATAGAAATGCAAAAAGTCGAAACATAATTGAACTCCAAAAGATACCACTGAAATATCGAACAGTTTCATAAAAACACTAACCTGACACTTCTGTGGAGTTGAATAACTGCTATTATTTAATTCAAAGGCTGATGTAGGTGTTACCTATAAGAACAAAAGGCTTAAGGGTTGAACTAAGGAAGCATAGTATACAGCGATATTGTTGCTTACCTCCATGCAGAGTTCGATCTTATCTTGGATCAAATAATTTAAGATTTCTAAATCATTCAGTTAAGAAAATCACAATTCAAAGGAAATAAGCATTGCATTATGATTAAAAATGATTACAGAAGTCAAGATCAACCAGGATACGTGGGTCAATAACAGCAGCCACGTTATCTGAGCCAATGACGAGGGCAAACTCCCTACCCTGGGAATGAGTTTAAAAAATATTAGATTGAATTTGGAATCCCCTTCTAACAAGTTACTCTTCTTAACTCTTCCCCCAGCTTTCCAAAGGTCTACATATAATGTGTGTGTATTTCCACCCACCATCTCTCTCCGATAATTATATACATTTGTCAAATGGCTAACATTAAGAATAGAAGTTAAACCTTTGATAATAGTACATCTAGACTTCCACCGGTCAATAAGGAAAGGAGCACTGGACCATGTTCTGAATTATACCTTCACATGAAAAATATTGATGTGAACCTCTTGTGACAAAGCTAAATTTGAATCCAAAATTTTTCACTATGAAACTCATACGAATGAAAGTGTCATACTCATCAGATCAAACAAACAGACATAAAACAACCATGATGATTCTTCATTTTTCCTGTTGAAATGTATATCATTACTAGGGCATTGGCCTGAGGATTGTTTAGGAAAGATACAAGAAAAATAATGAGAAAACATTGACACTTAGGTTGGCCATTAGTTGCAAAAAACGTAAAGTACGCTAGTTTATGTCTGTCATAATCAATATGAGCATCCTTTTAATAAAAATATTAATGTGCCTTGGAGATTTCGTGGAAAGGTATCACAATGAAAATTTAAGATAAACTCAAACAAGTTCCTAAAGTATGGGGTGTTAACACATGAAAAATAGAAAATCTCTCAAAAAAAGTGCCAGCACCACACTTCACAATAGAAGGAGTAAATATCAAAATCCCACGCCCTTATTATCTTCCCTTCTCTTGTGGCTTCTTTCGCTTAATGGAAACTGTAATCTAAAAAGTTATGCTGCTTGAGAAACATATAATATGCAAAATTCTCTAAATTAATTAGAGAAAGCAGGTATACAGTTGATGGAAGATTATTGATCAAACTACAAGTTCAAAATAACATGTGAAGATTTAGATAAATTACACATTGATCAAAGTTGGCAGTTTTCTTCACTCGAGAAATCACTCCTGGTGCACCTATCAAAGTTGGTTTCTCATTATCTTTTTTCAATTTCCTGATTAAGTTTACTCCAAAGCAAAGAGGCATAAGTACAGTAGGAAAAACATTCTCCTGAGTGTCACTATCTTTTTTTTATATATAAGAAAAGGGTATATGTATTACTCACAAAAAAGAAGTACAGCTCTAAGGGAAGGGGGCAGAGGAAGCCCCCTCCATACAAAAAGAACTAATTCAAGAAAGAACTCCAATAAGGAGGTGTTCTTATTAATTGGTTACTTATTCTAAGAAAGAAAGAAAGAAAACATAAAGTTAAAAAACAAACAGTAAGTAGAACTTACAAATCATCATCATCTTCCCTTGATTTTTGAGATGTATCCAGAGGCAACTTTTGTCCCTGAATAAACAAACAATATTTTAAGTGCAAATTTAAGCAAACCTTTATAAGACTTCTATTCAGATAACATAAAGCTAAGAAATAAGCTATAAATTCATAAACCTGAAGTAAAGAATGGACATCAATTCTTGTCTTATATTGTCTCACAGCCTACAGATTATGAATAACAATTAGAAAACTCAAGGAATATCCAAGAGGAGACAATCATAAGATATAGGATCATATTGTCTCACCTTCAATGTCTCATCGTGAGTTTCATCAGAATCCAAGAGAATCAATGGAACATTGCATCCATACTTCGCATTTAGGGACTGAGGAATTATAATGGTAGCACGTATGCAACTAGTTGGTAAGTAGACACAATGACAATGGCTTAGTTATCAACAAAACTAGAGAAGAAAAACGACCTCAATTTGCTCAACAAATAAGTCAAGGACTTTTGAATCACCACAAACTTTGAGTGCAGATCTGCATAATATAGATCATTCGCCAGTATCAGTATTAGACTTTTCAACGTTGAGACGCTGGAAAAAAACATGAGCCAGACATATATTGCAGTTTCAAAATTATAATAAAACCTAGTCATCCTTCAAAATTTAACGTCATGAATAATATAATTAACTAATAAGATTTCATGCAGGAAAATGCAAGTTATATAATTCTTTACAACCTAACAGTATTAATCAATAATGATTGTTAAATCCCAGAGGTTATTTAATGGAGAAAAACAAGTGCGGTTCATAAATCTTACTCCCCCTTACAATTTAAGCAGAGACCTTAACGTTGGCATATCATCCATTCCCACATTAGAAGGTACAATAGGAAGATAATTTTTATAGAGAATAAAAGAAAGATTATCATTTCACAGAGTTGCACCAGACAACCAGGATTTTTTTACCAGAATTCAAATTTTGTATTGTCCTCTTCTTTAACATCGCAAATGCAAATCTCTATGTAAAAGAGATATTTCACAACAGCCATGGTAAATTATAACCACCAAATCATGAAAATTGATATTAAACCATTGAACAAACAAGGAAATCGCTGTGAGTTTCATCAATGTAAAAAATACAGAATAACTACATAAGCTCAGTCCTCAGATATGCATTCTGTACATTTGAATCACAAAAACCATCCAAATTTAACACGTTAACTTTTATGTATTTTCTCAAATAACTACATAAGCTCAGATATGCATGATGCTTACTTGGGCCCATTAGAATCCATTGATGTGCCCAAATCTCCATTGAACTTCAAAACAACGAGCTTGTCCAAAATAGTTCTAATTTCTGCTATGCCTGCAACATAAGTCATATAGAACCATTAGATATGATAATAATTTCCATGCTGTAATATTCTTTTTTTAAATGGTAAAGCAAAACTACATGTTACCATTTGGCATTGGTGCTAAACTCTCATAGGAAACAAGAAGCACTTCTCTCTTCAGAACATCATTGCTTTTGGTCTGCTCTACTTGATCCAAGCCCTCTCTTACAAATGACATAAAAATAATGCAGAAAAATCTCATTTTAATGAATCTAAGAACTTAAAAGTGTTTAAAAATAACTTAAAATGGTACCTCGGTTGAGATTTGGGAAGTTCTTCTTTAATAGCAACTGCATTAGTAGAAGCCGCCAAGCGCTTCTGCTCATAAAGGAAGGTTTTTGTAATCAAGTTACAAAACAAATAGACAAAATGAACTGAATCATTGGCCGGGATAGGATAAGCAATCCTCTTATAGATCTCCAATGGCATGCTCGAGTCCACAAGAGCAACGATTGGAATCTGCAATCTATCTGCCTCCATAATCACCGATGATTTCCTCTCCGTATCGATAACCACTAAACAATCGGGTGGTTGAGTTGGTCCAAAACAGAGCCTCTTATGCCTGGACCTGAACTTCTTAGGACTTCCACTATTGGTGAGAATTCCACTCATCTTCCAAAGTGCAGTGGCACTGGGGCTATAGCACCCAATCTTCTTCGTCATTTCTTCAATGATCTCATCAAAAAGCCAATTGGTATTAACAAACATAAAACGACCCTTCTGGCGAACCAATGAGCCAATGAAGTTCAAGGCATTGCGCATACAAATTAGAGTTTTATCGGAGTCGATGATGGCCATCCGATTGCGGAAGCCATAGGTATATAGCTTGAAATGGTGAGTGGCAACTTGACGTCCGACATGGGCTTTGGTGCTTAATAGCTTCTGAATCACAATGGAGTGAAGAGTCATCTTCGTCACCGCGTGGTTCTTGAGATTGTGAATTTTTCTTCTTGCTCGTCACTCACTCAAACAGCCTCATAGGAACG